GAATTTCCCCTCCTTCGTCCTTCTTCATTTTATCGTCTTTATCCAACCACATGTGGGATTGTTGATCAAATTCGATCACATGCATGCAGAAAAGACAAGGGATCTGTCAAAGGTGGGTGACAAGAGAACTGTCGCCCTTCGAACTAACAGAATACCATCTATATTGAAAGCTATACCAGCAACTAGATCTCACTAACCTCACTGCAAACCCTTCAATGGCTTTTCCAAAAGTGATTACTTGATAGGAGGGGTTCTTTTCTTTTTCTTCCCTCTAATTTGTGGCATTCTTGGTGATGTCGTCCTTGTCAGCATACGTGTGAGTTTCAGGGGGGTGTGTGACATTTTCTTCTCGTTCACCCACTTTCTAGTAATCAGGGACGATAGCTTCATGACTATTGGCCTCTTGAAATCCCATGGAGAAACAGCATTCACCCGTTGTCGGTGGTATCATGATCTTCTAATCACCATCGCTATGCTACACGGATTTCCTATAGGCTTATGCTAGGGCTCTGTCATCGCACAGAAAGGAGATTCTAGCCAAAGCCACAGGATACACACAATTGGGATGGCCTATCTCGAGCTAAGTCTTTACATAATGAGTTGACGCTGATCAGGGTCGATAGGTCACATTTAGTAGACATGTCCTCCAAAGTCGTATGAGATCAATCCGTGTTCAACCACGTACCCCGCCACCATACGAGCAATTGGTCAATGGTTTGGCAGCGCGAAGATGCAGATAGGGTTCGGTGTCTAATCGTGTCTCATGCGAGTCAAAAATGCTGGGAGTTGATAACAAACAAATGTCCACTCAACCGCGAATTACCGCCAGTCCAGAGAATAAGCCGCCAACAAAGCGCTTACACGAAATAGTAGACGTGCCCTTGGGAAAGCCGGCGATACTTGAGTTCACTATTAGCACTATCTAAACATCAAAAAGTATCATACCTATCTATCAACTACTCATTTATCGAACGCATCCTCCACTCAAGATCACACTGTCCACCTCCCACCAATGACTGCACTCGGCGCAGTAGGCCCATAGGGACCTACCGGTAACACGGGCTCCCTATCTCTAGAATTCGCGAAGATTGTCGTTAATGTGGTTCTGTTGCTATACGATGGGAACTCGGACTCGCTATTTGGCAAAGTCACATCTTCACCAACCACTTCTATCTTCAAACTCGGTATATCCTTAGCATTGAGCGTGGTTCCATCGCCCTGTTCGCCAGAGAAGACCTTGTTAGCGCTCGAAAACGATGGATATCAGCAAACGATATGGGTTGGGATGCGCATACAACCCGCCACCGATTATGGACAATACACGGCTAGATGCATGTGATTGTCGACACGATACTTCCGTTCGGTTGAATAATTCCATCATGATGTTGGGTTGTTCTTTACGTACCTTGAATACCTTGAAATGTAAATCTTTCATGAGCGCCCTCTCAACAACTCCAGAATCATTGTTGTCGACATCGAGACGATCGACAGCCCAGAAAAGCGACAATTCGTCGTGTGCGCGGCCCGTCTTTGGCATACCGAGTAGCACTGTTCGGCCGGCGAAGTGGTCCCCCAGATACACATTTATGCTACATGGTAGTGGAAGATCCGCGCGCTCGACTTGGACGTTGACAAACCAATCGCGTCTTGACATCGAAGCAGCCGTCGTCTTTCTAGCCGTAACTAGGCCGCCGTACAGTCTGTTGATTTGCGCGATGACGTCCTTCCGTCCATGATTTTGGCCCACCGTACTGATCTCTGGATATGTGTAGCCAAACGCTTCGGTCGTTGCCATTGTCCTACCTGTGTGGAAAGTGCTTCCATCGGTCTTCGTTCTACCCAGTTAGCTGTTGTGAGAGATGACTGAAAGCCTCGAACACGATATTGGAAGCCTCAGATTCAAGTTATCAGTGCGGTGCACGCTTACCTGGTAGAACGGCTTTAATGGGCTATCCGCAGTGATAATTTCCCCTTTAGCTGTTGCATATAGGCCCTGGCTTTCGTATGGTTGGACCTGTAATGTATCGTTGTTGATGGCCGTCCATAGGGCAGCTAGCCTATCGAGATTGCAGTGGTGGAGCATACTACAACATATAAGTGAGTATTCGCTTCTGTGATAAAGCCGATGGTCGTGTAAACGTACAATAAGGAGTCGAAAGCGGTCAAATCCAAATTCGAAAACGACCCTCCCACAGAATTATGGATCGTATTATGGGGCGATTCAAAGCTGGATCCTGAGCCAGCCATTGACGCCATCTGGTCATACGTCGTGGAGGAGGAAAAAGTGCGATACTGGACGGTGTCAGGAAGCAATCCTAGACTTCTCCCAGACACAACCGCTAATACTCACGACCGAATCCTTTATCGAGTCTAAAACTTCGAGCAGATCCCCGTCCACTGCATCCGGGTCGAAGCCATTATCCCCAGCCCGCGTTGTCACAGGCCCCATACTGCCTTGCCCTGGGAACTGAGTCGTATTCAACGGATACGTCTGCCAACGATAGTTGTATAAGGGGTTATGGAGCACCAGTTCGCCGTTTGGGCCATTCACCGTAATATTCTCGTACGTGCTACAAGGTGGGAGTGTCGGATCATTTGCCCAGTCCCAATAGGGAAGACGGAACTTTTGTGAAGCGTTTTGGTAGGCAGATGCATCTTCGTTAGTATACTCCAAAGCTAAGTGTTTGACTTCGTCTCCGAGGACTTGCTTATACTAGGTTAGTAATGTGCTTATTCGGCGGATCCTATCCTGTTTCCTACCTCATAGAGAACAAGATATGCACGATGCCAAGAGATCAACTGAGGCGACTATATCACCTTCATATCAGCGACACTACGTGAACGTGCGAACAACGAGGTATTGGAAGTTTTACCAGGTGCGGGCAATATCCTCCTCCAGAGCCTCCAGCAACAGGCCCAACGCCATTATAAGGGGCATAAGGCATGCCATGGATGCCTGGGAAGGTCAGGTCTGATTTCTAACCGAGTTACACCCCGAACGATAGTCCTTACCTGCCACTGCGAAATGAGATCGTTCATCATCTTCTGGTTTATTCTGTAATGCGTCGAGGCCACGAATGAAGAGATCCCTATGTCGCGTGAGGAATTTGACAAAGATATTGAATAATTAGAGGAAGATATCGTACCACATTGGACCCCCTTCCTTCTCCAATATGTTGACGTTCATTCGCAAAGGCAGCTCGCCTGTGGCCTGATCGATCCCCGTCGTCATTCCAACGATAGGCACAGGATTTGTTTGCGCAATGACATGGCCAATCCTCGTGATGACCGCCAGGTACAGCGCGTACTTGTGAGCTTCGAGCAACATTACGGTGTATGCATTAAACATTCGAGACGATTGAATTGGCGATTACTGAAAACCCTTGAAATAGTTCAACGAGCAGAAAGCGTATGAGATGGATTGACTATCAGCATACGATGTCATCTGTATGATTTTCAATCAGTCACCATGTTTGCACCATCAGACCGACATTTGGTTTGCGTAGCACGCCCTTGAACTTCCTATTTACGTAGGAGAGCTATGCAAAGCTTGCTCCGATAGAGCACAAAGAGGAATCAGAGTCCAGCTATTTCCAGGGACCCCCATCGATTCCTCCCTTTTTCACCGAGAGTCAACCCGTGTGGTGAGTTGAGCCGCAGGGAAGCTCGTAGTAAGAAACTGCGCTCCGGGAATGCCTTGTGATAGGCCGGAAAACGGGAAAAGGTCGAATATTTGCGCCCATCGAGACATACCTGATGCGGTGACGTCGGTGACACCGGACAAACATAGAAAATATACCCATCTTCTCCATGACGATGTTGGTGATGTGGATCTCCAGGGGCCGCTTAATGGAATATCCGCTCTCTGCAACGCTGCTGCTTACGGACTGAGCTCTAGTGGTGACACATGGCGTTTATCGCCAGGCGTCGGAAGCAGCCCGAAGAGAAAGTTACAGCGATGAAAGCAAACTAAGTTTTCGGGTGGCCGCTGGCGGTGAACGTTTCACAGACCGGAAAAGGCTTGTGCTCGGTAACCTGCAGCAAATGGTTACATGGCCACGAGGGAGTCAAGTATGCATGACATTTTTTCACATGGGAAGAATAGACCGCTGTCACCCTGGTATGTGCCACATTATAGTCGACTATATGAGTAAATCACGATAATTTCTCTTGGCGTCGAGTTACAAGGTTGTGAAAAAGGGAGGCACACCGTACAACCCCTGTGATGATGGCACAAACTTTTGCACACTGAAGAACGCTGTACACATATATTGGTGACATGGCATGGTCAGGTACACTGATTGGCGGCTCACCATTTCGTGGACCAGCATTCCTAGACCTCAGTGCATTGCGAAAAGCACCCTTGGGATCCTTGGGTCGAGTCCAAGGCAGACCGCGACACAACAGCATGATGTCGTGCGAGTCTCTTGTATTAGGGGCCTGTTCCCGGCATAGCGACAGGCCGCGGTGAGCAACTATTGAAATAGACAAGAACCCGGCAAGGCGAAAGTGGTCGAAGGCTCGTGTTAGCAGGTGCCACTAAATATAGCCGGAGCTTTCAACTGCTTTACGGGAAAAGCCATCTCACTGCTGTGGATATCTCTCTCATGGATACACAGTCCCCAATCCCTATCGTATATACGTCGACTGTCAATAGATGGATATAGTTTGCCATCTGGCTAGAGCACACAATGTTCCTAGTAGTCTTATGAGACTAGAAACCGACCTCGGGACTTTCTACCTAGTGGTGAGACAGGAAGTGTGACGTCGGTGAGCTTAAACCGTGACACATCTCGACTTTCTAAGAATGCCAATTATTGAATACTATTGACTCGGGCTCGGTGAGACCAACAATATTCTAGGTTAGGGGGTTACACCAAAGGCCCGACTGCGGATCACCTGCCATCAATTTTTGGGCATTCCCACCAGATATCTTTTGAAGGCAAGTCGGTTTCGCTTATTCATGACCCAACTCCAAAGCAACGGAAGATATACCATCTGGTCGGTTAGCTCAGTTGGTTAGAGCGTCGTACTAATATTATATAACAATAACAATAACAATTGTGTAATTATATAACATTGGTAAATGCGAAGGTCATGAGTTCGACCCTCATACTGACCAACTATATTGATACCTGACAACCTGAGTCGGGTTAAATAAATTTTTTCATAAAAATTTTTCTCGACGCTTGGTGTTAATGTAGTGATAGCCGATGAGTGAATGTCAAGAGAACTACTTATCAACAAGCTATTATTAGCTAGAGACTTGGCGTTCTACAACTGTAGCAAACCAAGATAGTATCGTGTGCTTAACTTTGCAACACTAGGATTAAAAAGGGGAAAAGAGGCACAAAAAGAATACGTACAACACCAAGGATTCGCTGGTCGTCACCGACCCAACTACTAATTTGGCGCTCTCTAGCTTGTCTATGGGAGAGCAGACGGGATCCCGAATTTTCTAGAGGCTATGGTCGTACGTGAAAGACTCGTCCTGCTATCAAGGTATATATATACATACATATAGCCCGTTGCTAGCAGAGCAGGCTGAGAGCGGGAGTCAACCGACACCAAAACACCTCCTCCCACTAGTTGAGGTCTAGCCTTTGGCTAAAAATCGTAACTCGCTGATATCAATCGGTAATGTATTGGGTGACGAAGTGCCGCGAGAGAAAGTATGAATAGAATACGCGGAACCCATATCGCTGTCGACAGCGCCATATACCGGCTAACTTCCTCCCGACTTGCTTAAATTCCTTTCTGTTGGAACAATATTCGTACGAATAGCCAGGTGCTTCGGGCGCAGCCCTGGAAGCCCCTGGAAGGTCTGGGACCTGCGGTCACCTGACCTACCTGGTCACCTGACTAACCTGTATATAGTCTGGCAATCGGCTCTGCCGATTGACCCTACCTACTTAGACCTTAGTAGCAGTTCAATCGATAGATATTGGACCCCCTACCACCCCTTTCGCCGTACGACCTTTGGGTCGTACGAACCCTGTATTCCATGGAGTATAGTCCATTCAACACTTTCACTATATTCCATGTAAAACCGTCAACGTTTAAGGGTGTATATAACATACCTCTTGAAGTACGTTTATTGAGCAAGTTTAGGGTAGTCAGGGTATGAAGAAGTTGAAAAAACGATATAAACAAGATAGAAAATTAAAAAAAAAACCAGCAACGACAGTCCGACTCGAACTGGTGACGTAAAAATTGCCAAAAAGAATCTGTACACGGCTTAAGGCGAAACTCAACATCCGTTGTAAGGACCGGAAAACAGAGCAATGCTTATCCTGGCGACTACTTTACCACTGAGCCACTTCGAGGTGATTCTAGTTGGGAACGTCTGGTGAAAGAACGCAGTCATATTTGGATTCATAACCCTGGTTACCTACCTTGTGCACCCAGAGATGTGCCGAAGCGGGTACGTACCTTAGGTACCTCTTGTGAGTATCACGTACAGCCAGCCTGTCCGACTGATCCATGGTACACTTGTCAAAAAAGGGCTCGTGATCCGGGACGAAATGTCGGAAGTAGATCGTGGGCGAGATTGTAACGGCGCAGATAGTTACCTATCAAGGAAGGGCAGTAGGTATCACGAAGGTTACGTTTGACTGAAAAATATCACAAGGCCTTGGAGAAAATGATAAGGATATAGAAGGCATTGCTTAACACATTTGCATGGCTTATTGGCATTACGTTTCACTCGCAGGGCGTTGGTACTAAAACATAGCAATAATGACAACAGAAGCGCGAGGTATTCATAGTAGATTCCGAACTACCATTAGCTGCCACTTACATAAGTCTATATCTCCGACTTGAACATAAAAGTGTGTAAGACACTGTGTGGCTCTTCCACGAGTCAGCATACGCTGTTATAATCTACCCCGTACTTCAACAATCCCGGAGTGGCTTTCGCAGATTCTATTAGGTTAGAAAAAAAGCAGCCCAATCGATGTTTACCAAGTCCCACGAGGGTTGCTCGTGCCGTGACCTTCCTATGCGCAATGTGGTGTGAACGCGGCAGTCGGCCAAGCCCTCTTGCCAGTCCCTCGGGTACCAGCAGCCTGTCACAGCGTTTTCTCCAGTGCCATCAAGTCTCGGTACCCCTCTTTCCACGCCTTGGATTGCTCGCTAGTTGGCCGGGGAAGCGGGCTGCGGGCGTACCCGCCGTATCCCAGCCAAGACTGGAGTCCAGACTTGACGCCGACGACCCCGCCCTGGATGGCAGTCCAGTCCCCTCGCGACACGACTGCCTGCATCTTCTGTGCCTCTGCTATCCTGCCCTCTCTGCATAATTCGACCGTCTTGATACAGGCCTTGGGCGCGATGTTGGCAAGTCCCGCTAGGATGCCGTGGCCCCCGGCGATGAGTGACTGGATCGTGAAATCTGCTGAGCCTGCGAGCACCAAGAACTCGGGACTATCATCAGAACCGTCGGAGTTCTTGGTGGTCTTTCGCACGGCAGAAGCGATACGGTTCAATTTGCCCGTGTTCCCACAAGTAAGCTTAACGCCGACAATTCTTGGGTGCTGGGCCAAGGTTAAGATAATATCGGAGGATAGATCCATGCCGTTGACAGCCCCCGGGAAGTTGTAGATGATGATGGGAATAGGAGAGGCGTCGGCCACCTCCGTGAAATATCTCATTATCGTCTCGGATGATGGGGCGAACAGCGTGGCATAGTACGACGGGGGCAACACGAGCGCATAGTCACCTCCTGCCTCTGCCGCCTCACAGCAGAATTCGATCGTCTCACGAGTGCTTTGAGCACCACACCCCACTATCACCGAAATATGTGAGAAGCCGGCGTGGTCCAGTGCGGAACGAGTTGTTGCCGTTACCAGGTTGCGCTCGGTATGTGTCAAATGAACAGCTTCGCCGTTTGAACCTTGGGTTGCGATGCCCATGACACCAGCCTGAGCGAGTCGTACTACGTGGCGAGCGATAGAATCTGTGTCAATATCTTCCGTCTCATGGTCGAAGAAACAAATAGTTGGCACATAAACTCCGGGTGCCAGCAGGCGAGTGATGTGGCTATCGCCATCTGTACGAGCTGTTTCGTGAGAACTGCTTGAACATGATAGAGAACCGGGCCTCTTCTGACTTACCTCCTTCGAACCTTAGAGACGAAGCCGAGCTGAAGGATAGCTTGCTCAGGTCCGTGGCAACGCTTCCCGCTGGAGATGGAACATCGATGTGCGGCGCCATGGCGAGAAACCGTCAGGGAAACTGGTGTTTGCAGTTTCCTGGTAGCTGATAGAAATGTTTTGGAGATAAAAACGCCACAAGCAGTTTGAGACTGGCGGGTGGGATGGCTCTGGTTTTGCAAAGGTACCTAGGTGGGCAGGTAAAATACCTTGGTAGCCTTGACGTGCGGCTCCTTCAATATATGGAAGGTTGAACAGAAGGTGTGAGACGGGCGAAAGCCACCCAATTGAAGTCCCAAATAGGAAAGTGATGAACAGGGACTTCTTCTAACAGACCACCCACAAACTTCGAAGACGATATATATATTATGCCTTCTTTTTCTTTCTATATTTTTTCCTGTCAGCCGGCTGGTGGCGTTGGCAGCAGCCTCTATGATTAGCTGATCTCAGAACATGGCAGCGAGATATTGGCAACCGCGGCAAGAGCGGTCTGCCGGGCTTTCGGGTGTTGAGATACACGACAAGGGTTACAGAGGCAAGGATGGTTTGGCCACGTCGACACGCAAACGGGCTTTACACATGAGTGATGGTTTGGAGCGAGTTGTTATGCAATGAACAGTCATAAGAACCGACCCAAGTCAAGGCTGGATGGTGATAGGGATAGGACTATATCGGAGGGGCCCGCCATTGTCTGGGGTCTCATGAAAGGCTAGGGCTCGGGGGGCTCGGGCTTTGGTTAGCAAAAGTGTACCTTTCCATGACAATCAACTGAAAGCCACAAGGCCAATGTAATAGGAGATGAGATACTTGGCATTGGTGCGTTTGTTGAGGTTGCTGGCAAGCCAACCGGAATTGCCACGGCCCCTGTTCAGAGGACCAATGTCGATGGAATAGGACGAATAAACTTTTTAGGAAACATGCAGGCAACCATTCATAGGCCTCTCGAGGTAATAGGCCGCAAGCAGGCGGCAGATATTCTGCGGGAAGTTATGCACTCATCATCCCGTAAGCTCCGTCTTCGGGTCGATGGAGCATAACTCTCGCATCAGAGAGCTGAGCGAGAAGGCTAGGTAGGTACCGTCGATCACTGGCATACTACATCAACACGTTGGTGTGGTCGCATTCGTATGCGCAAGGATCGCCGTCGTAGCCGTCATGTGCTAAGCTTGTAGCGGCGATGAGATGTAAGGAACTGACAACCGCACGAGCATACATCCTGATGAAAGCGAACTAATCTATGACGACCAAGTCATTGCGTACTCGCCCTGGTGTGCCAACTGTCTTGACACGTCCGCAAAGTTTGACGCAAGTTGAAACCAGTAAAAGTCATGTGAACATCCTTGATGCGACTTGCCGTGTGTCAACGAATGCGACCCAAGACAAACATCACTTTATAGGGTAAGAGAGACTCCATGAACATGCGGAGCCGCAAAGGATTTGATATATGAGATTGGTGTTGATGGTTCTTGACTTCGTGGACGGCAACGATTAGGTGAGCAACAACATCATGGTGGTCTAACTAATAGCATAGTTAGCGTAGCATCGAGGTACCCATTGCTAGGATTTCGGGTTATAAAAGGACAGTATGTAGACTGAAGGTGAGATACTGAGTCTCATGTTTGGTCAAAGCACGGTCTCGACTTCGTACGCGGGCCCCAACTAGGTGGGCGAAGGCCCAAGCAGGATCCTGGTCTTGCTAGTCTTATCAAATGTAAGTACAGGTGTGACGCGGTAGGCCCCGGTCGTTGCGCGACGACTGGAAATGTATTATTATTACAGACCGCCCTGTGGTTTAGGAATATGCCATGGAAATATCGATGCGCTGGGGTAGCAGTGGCTGTTGGCGATTTCGTCGAAGGCGTGTGCCAACAAGTGTGAATCACAGTATTAACCAATCATCGATGTCCGTGCTTGTTGTAGCTGGATTCAGTCTCTGATACTAGGTATTTGCAAGTGACCAATACCGACTTGA